TTTCTTGCTGACAGGCAGTCGGTAACTGAATTATATATCTTCCTCATTGACATTGAGTTTCATTTTGTTTTTAAATATGGTAACTACTTGTTTGACATGGCTTCCATCCTGACTTCTGTCTTCCTGTATACCATATATACGCAGGTTATTTTGTTTAGCTTCCTGTTCCAACTGATCCACTCTATCTTCTAATGAGCTAACCTTTTCTTTATAGACCTTGATGTGTGCCTCGATCATGGCAGGAATTTGCGTGCAATCACTTCAACTAATTTTTGCATGAACAACTCAAATGATATAATTTTTTCACAGATTTGCTGTACTTGTGTTTCGATATCGAGTTGGTGTTGTCTTCTTGGCCTAGACATTTTAGTTCAACACAGAAGTTTGAAACTAACAACGAATATTGGGGAGCGACCTGAAACACGTCTACTTTCAACCACACATTCGAACCGAATGTATAGTTAGAAAGTACATAACTAAGTACATACATAATAAAATAGCAGAAATAACATATTTTACAATGAACACATATTATATCTAGAAACAAAAATACCAATGAAATGCAGTCAAATAATGAAATTGGTTACAGAAAGTATATGAAACGTATAATAGAAATAATATGCAAACTATGAAATTCCACTAAATAGATTTTTTTTCAATTTTTATTTAAATTTTGTAATGGAATAATGCTTCTTTATTTTTTCTGGAATTGAATTACTTCATGATATATCGACTTTTTTCCAAAAATTTGTTTGTTATCTTAATTTGTGACAGTAATTTGGTTTGTTTTGTGGCATGATTGTGAATATGTCCAATTGGAATAACATTTAAGTTTGATTTCTTTGTATTATTTTTAACAGAATGAATGAAACAGCTAATTTTGAATTTTTAGAGTGAATTCAAGTCCAATAAAAAGTTTGGTTTATATAAGTTCAATGTTGGTTCCAAATATGATATTTTATAAATGCTTCTTATTATTTTGTTTTGCAAGGTTTTTAGAGGTTTTATTATAAATTTACATGTTGTTCCCCAACAGAAATAAGATGCAGCGCAGATGTGATGTTTATTTTTTGAACAGGTCAACTCAGAAAATTTCAATTGGGGATAATGATATTATTGCATGAGTACTTTATTTTGAAGTGAAATTGACAGATGAAACTTTCCAGATGGCGACTAGGCGCCATCTGGGAAAAAAATTTAAAAGGAAACGGGTTCTTGTGACACATCATTTTGAAGCTCCTGACAAATGCTTCACAACCCTAGAATATGAAGACAAACACATTAATATCGATATTTCTAGAAATATTCGCTTTTATCTGCCATATGGCCATTCCAACAACCCAATAAGGTTTGTTAAGGTTTTTGTCAGTACGACAATGAACATCATTGTTCAGTTGGAATATTCTCATTTGGTTTTTGGTTTTACTAGTAGAAAGGTAGCACGTCAATAATCTCTAAAATGGTCAATTCTCGTCCATTGGAAAAAAAATTGAAGTGATTTTTATTTACGGTGCGATGCGTAACTTTCACGAGACCGAAAGGANATTATGAGGTTGAATGTTTCAAAATATCGAATTTCTTAGCATCAAGCAGTTAATTTTAACGACTTTTCCTTTAAATGGCTAGGCTCTGTTGGCCTTAAGGTTATTTCTGACAGATGATAAGGTTCCCTTTTCATACGAAAACACATGTGTTTTGGTATCTAAAATTCAACGAAAAATATAATATATCCAACTTATTACACTATAATTTAAGTGTTGTGTTGAATGTCGTTGACAATGTTTTTGGTGAATGTTAGAATCCTAATATTCACCATTCCATTGTCTAAAAAAGCATTAACAGATTTAAAATATATGAGAAGATGAAGTGGATGGAATATTAAAATTACCAGAATCGAAATATTCCAACGAGTTAGGTACAAAAAAAACAAAAATTTAAATATTTTTAACTAACTCATTTTAATACTTCAGTAGGTACTGATATTTTTAACATTCCATTATTTTTTTCTTCTCATAGATTTCAACGTAAACACTTTTAGACAAACCAAACCTCCAACATTCATTACAATTTCGAATGTCGATAACCAATATAAACCGTTATCAATTGAATTACAAAAACTGATAGGGCAATTAACCATTTCATAAACTATGCTGTTTATGAAAAATGATGCATTGATGAAAAATTAAAAAAAAATAGTTCATTGTATATAAACAACCACTCCTATATATAAAATAAATAAAATTCATAACTGAATAGTTGTGGATAGAATTGGAAATTCTGCTATAACATAAATGTAATGAAAGCTCACTTCATACTAGCATATACTTATCTCGATGCAAGGACCAACCAACTTGGTGTCATCAGAAGGCTGTTGAAAAATAAAAAAAAATGTCAATGTATGACCATCAGTTCCCTCACATCCCCGTACGACTGAGAGGAATGATATTTGAACTGGCTAACCCAATAACAATTGAAGGTTTACTGCCCCATAAAGGAAGCAAATACCATAAAAATGAGAGAAGACGAAGAGAAAAAAAGTATATTTTAGCCTTGAGATTTCGTCTATCTGGTTCTTCATTAAGTTATATGAATAATGAAGATATTTAATTGAGATATAAACCGGAAAATAAGGCCCATTTGATACACTCTACCCATCTTACGAATCTGTATCGTTCCCACCGGTTTTCCCAAGGGTAGCGCCCTAGGACCTAGGCTACTTCTTTTATTCGTACATGACCTCAACAACAGTAACCGTCAACATTGTACAGTGCAATTTGCCGAGACACTTCGTTCACTCTGAAATACTCGGATTATGAGGGATTATCGTGTCAGGCCAATCGAGCTGTTGCTAAAATGCAATATTATTAATTACTGATAGTTCAAAAAAGATAGTGAGAACAATGTGTTTCAGAAAATATGAAGTCTCATGTAGGGACCTGTTACCGATTTGGATATTTCAACCATTATTTCACTATACAGTTTGTTTCAAATTCGATCCTCACCATTGGGATTTCGGAAACTATGAGAGATACGAAGATGCTTAAGTTGGGACTAAGTTTCGCATTTAACTGACTAACAATATGCCGTTGAGAAAGTTCTGGAATTCCGAGTATATCCGGAGATATCCAGAAAAAACAGAAATTTTGGAAAATGTTTTTTTTGGCTTCATTTTTAGAAGGATTGGAACATAAATTACACTTCCACATTGCCACTTTCTCCCTGCTACATAATAGTGTTTTCATTTGCTATCCGACGTTTCGTCTTCCGGCCTCCATCATCAACTTTATTGTTTCTTATAGGTGCTACATTGGATTTTTTTTTCTTTTGAATAGAATCAGATTTTACCTTTTCAATAATGTATCATAAGTTATCATTCTTTTTCGAAAAATTGGAGATATTGAAAAAAATTATTTCTTGTCATAATAGGCTTTGACTTTGATGTTTCTGAATTTGACTTTCAATTTGTTACCCTCAATGACATGTTGTTATTGTACAAGTCATATTGAATAGTATTAGTGTAGTGTATTGCGTATTTCTATATTTTAGTACAATTGACTTTTCCATGGTGTACAGTCTCTGAAAATAAAAAACTGATTTGATTTGATCTACGGGACGGTCGGCTGACAAGCCATGCGTTCGACATCGAATGCGCCACTGCAGTTCTTTAAGGGGAGTCAAGTGATTCATTCGTCAATGATGAGACCTTGACGTGTCAAAACTGTTGCTTTGCAGGGAAAAAACAGAGAACGAATCTCGTTCGGTGGTCGATGTCGAAGCTTGGCTTTACAACGGACCGCCTTGGGGAGCCCCGTTCATCTTTGATATTTGTAGATTATGTCTTCTGCTAGTCTCACGCATTTCAATAACTTATTGAAGAATATGAATCGAAACACAATTCATTAGCCTATTTGGTTTTGAAAATGTGAATTTACTTCAATAAACGTCGAAATAAATCCATAAGGTGCAATATTTCCAAACACCAAAGCTACAAAACTCTTCTCGGCGTACATTTCACCAACCAAATTGGCGTCTTCAGGGGATGAAATGGACTGATTCCTAACTCTAATCTTGGCCTCTCTTTGATACTAACAAGGTATGATTTCAATTTCAAATGTACATAAATGATAACGGGATGAAGTTCGACGAATTTTTTTAGTGAAAGTTCCCGCAAGTTTTCACAGAGTGATTCATATGAAAGTAAACAAAGAACTGTTTGGTATGAGACCTAAGTCACTTTTTATAGTTCTCATGTCACACTCTGCTATTTCCTGGCTCTCAAAGCATCCAAAAATCTAGTTTCATGTACCGTACATACTAAAATCTGCTGTAATTGAATAGAACTAGCCGATACTTGATGAAAATCCATATTAAAATCAATTAATACAGTTTATTGTATGATTTTCACTATAACGGGTTTTACAAAAACCGCAACAAGTGTTTCGCTGTACAACAGCTTCCACAAGCGTAAGTTTACGCTTGACACTAGTTCATGAATTGAACGAAGATGATTTCGATAGACGTATCGCGTTTTGGGAAAGTCTCACTGAACGGATTAACTTGTATCAGCATTTCTTGTATGAAATTTGTTTTTCGGATGAATGCACATTTAGTTTGAATGAAGAGGTGAATCGGCAAAATTTTCGATATTGGAGTGATACGAATCCTCATTTATACTCTCAAGTTCATATCCAACGACCTCAAAAACTAAATGTTTGGGCAGGAATGTTAGGTGACCACATCATAGGACTAGTGATAAATATTTGGATACATTGGAGAATTGAATAATATCTACCTTGCATCAATAGGTTAATTGAGGAGGATATAAATTTACTCGAAAACGAAATAGTTTTTCAGCAGGATGGTGCACCTCCTCGTTATGCAGCTCCAGTGCGAAAATTTTTGAAAGATAATTTTCCTGGTCGCTGGATAGGCAGAAGAGATCCTACAGAATGGCCACCAAGGTCTCAGAATCTCACTCCTGTAGAAACAGCCTTGCCTTGCCTTGTAGAAACAGCCATTCTTAAAAAAGATAAAGAGTGGAAACTCAAAACAGTGAGTCTGGCTGCCTTACAGAATTGAATTGAGCATAACACTCAAGCACACACAAGCAATATAGTTATTTTTGCTATGTACCTATAACATATTTTCTATAAAATGTGTATCGTATTTTTATTTTGAAAGTCTGGTAATTTTCAAATTCGGTTTCAACAAAATTCAAAAGATGAAAAAGCCCAAATAGACTGCTTCGTTTTGTTGTTGGAAGATGTTAGGACAGAAGTAATCAACTCCTAAAAGTTCTATTCTCGTATTAAATTTCCTTCTCAGTTAATTTAATTTGTATCTGTCAATGAGTCGTTACGATTTTAGACGCACCAAATCAATGCCAGGACTTTTGTGTGAAGGTTATTGACAATGTTTCTTGATGAATTTCATTTAAAAGAATTATTAAAAATGAATAGCTGAAAATGACAATTATATTAAGCAAAAAAACCTGAAATGAAATGATAGTGAAATAAAATACAAGTAAAATAGAACAATTGAACGGAAGTATAAATAAAAATAAGAAGTTAAGAGATTCCAAGCCAATTTACTTCACGACGTTTCGATTGTTAGTATCCACAATCGTCTTCGGGTGATGACTTGCATTTTATTTCATTATATTTTATTTTACTATCATTTCATTTCAGGTTTTTTTGCTTAATATAATTGTTATTTTCAGCTATTCATTTTTAATTCTTCTTTTTTATTAGTTCTTTCAGGGATTTCAAATCATTTAAATGGAAGTCCGAACTAATGAAGTTCACCAATTCCAGGACAGTCATGTGAAGAATTCTGAGAACCCTCATGTATTTAACAGTTATTTTTTGTGTTTTGTTGTGAGTAACGAGGTGAAATCTTTAAATTAGTAAAGAGTCTATGTGTTTCTGCCAAGTCATATGACAGTTCTTACAAAGATTTGACAGGCATTGAGAGTGTAGGTGGACTTTAAAAATAGAGCATTTTTGTTCAAATTTCATGATAAATTCTGTAAAAATCACATCATATTTTCTAAAATTATAATGCTATGTGAAGCGTGAGAATATAGGTAGAAAGTCAATGGAGAAAAAAATTGATGCGCGTCAATTGTTTTTCTGTATTAACGATTGTCGAAAATGATACAATTGGCTTATTGTGAAAAAAAATAACCGAAATACGCATTGCTGACTGAAATGAAATACATATTGTCCTCAGTTTCTTTCTTTCAGGATCTTTTAAAAAAACTTGTGAAGAAATCGAATATGCGTATTGCGGTATAGCCACATTGTGTAAAGTATTCTAACAATACAACATATTACATGAAAAATGCAATCATTTCCAGAGAAATATTGTTGATAGAAATTTCAACATTTGGGTTTCATCAAGAATTTTATTAGGGTGGCTGTGTTAACTTGATACCAAGTTAGCAGAGCTACCGCATATGTCTTTCACAACAAATTATCCACAATTATTCGATAGTAAATAAAACATATTTCAATAATAATTTCAGCTAACTTTATAGAGTTGCATTGCTAACTTTATAGAGATTTTTTATTAAGTGAGTATTATATTTATTATACAGGATACTACCTCAAAATGGATCCAATGTTATTCAACTACATCTTCAACGCCAATTATTGATATCTAAATTAGATTGTTCTGCTGGATGTATCTTCCAAATGTTAAAACTTTGAATGATACCTAATTTCTTTTTAAAATTACTGGAGTTCAATCCCAACACCAAACCGTTATTTTCAACACTTCGACACGTGTTTCAATCACCAAGTGATCATCTTTAAGAGAAAGATTAATCTTTCTCGTGGAGATGATCACTTGGTGGAAGATTAATCTTCCTCGTGAAGATGATCCCTTGAAAATTGAAACACGTGTCGAGGTGTTAGAAAAAACGGTTTGATGTTGGGATAGACCGTTATTTTTAACACCTCGACACGTGTTCCAATCACCAGGTGATCATCTTCAAGAGAAAGATTAATCCTTCTCGTGAAGATGATCACTTGGTGGAAGATTAATCTTCCTCTTGAAGATGATCCCTTGATGATTGAAACACGTGTCGATGTGTTAAAAGTAACGGTTTGGTGTTGGGATAGACCGTTATTTTTAACACTTCGACAAGTGTTTCAATCACCAAGTGATCATATTCAAGAGGAAGATAAGTTTAATCTTCAAGAGGAAAATCAGTTTAATCTTACTCTTGAAGATGATCATGTCAAAGTGTTGAAAATAACGGTTTGGTATTAGGATAGAACTCTAGTAATATTCATTACTACAACAAGGTTCCAAACAGTGCATCACAAGTACCTAATTTTTTACTAGACAAATAGAAGTGCTGAATCAGTAGTTGGAATTATTAAAAATTGTATAAAGGAATATGATAGTTTCAGTGAAATACCTCTTTCAAGGTTAATAACGGTTTGGTATTGGGATAGAACTCTAGTAATATTCATTACTACACCAAGGTTCCAAACAGTGCATCACAAGTACCTAATTTTTTACTAGACAAATGGAAGTGCTGAATCAGTAGTTGGAATCATTAAAAATTGTATAAAGGAATATCATAGTTTCAGTGAAATACCTCTTTCAAGGTTAATAATAACTTTTGATTTTTTATAGATTCTCTGTTTATATCACCACACTTTATGTGCTAGGAATCGCACGTTAAAAGCTAAGTCCTCGTTAAATCTCAGCTCGCATAAGTTTAGGTTTTTGAGGGTTGTCGTTCGTAGAGGAGTGACAGTTATGGTTAACGAAAAACACATTCTGACAGTTTTTTAACAGACTTCAGGCGCCTGTTACAAAGAAAACAACTCAGTAGATTGATCAATTATAGCTGAATATAACGGATGTAATATAGGATAATCGGTTCTAACAATTAAATAATTTTTAAGAGCCCATTGTAGTGTCATTCGTAGGGAAATGGATATTAGATAGAGATGTCAGGGGAAATATGAAAAAAGTATCCTCCAGGCACATTTGCTGAAGTTTTGGGGATCCAAATTAATGTCATCGGTACTGATGAAAATTTATCATTGAGAAGGCATATACGAGGTGAATTTTTATTTTTCTCAAAAAACATATTTATTCATCAATTTCTATTTTGTCCCATTCAAAATAGTTCCCCTTACATATAATACACTTGTGCCAGCCTTTTGTCCAACCCTCGAAGTAGTTCTGATTTACACTTTATGGTATGTCCTTAATCGCTCTCAGTGATTCGGTTTTCATCTCATCAATCGTCGCAAAACGCCGTCTTTTCATGGGTCTCCTCAATGTTGAAAACCAAAAAAGTCGCAAGGGGGCAATTCTGTTGAATACGGTGGCTGAGGAATGATTACGGTGTTGTTTTTGGCCAAAAAATTACGAACAAGCAATGATGAATGAGCAAGTGCATTATCGGGATGCAAACTCCATGGATTGTTTTTCCACAATACCAGAACATTTGCTTCATATTGCTTCTCGCTTGGTATTGGCTCTCCTGGGCTCTTCCATTGGGGGGACGATTGGACTTTGGTATCATAACTATATACCCATGTTTCGTCCCCAGTTATTACTCTTTTAAGCAAATCTGGATCGATGTTGACGTCATTTAACAATTCCGGAGCGATGCTTTTGATCAAAATTCAGCAATTTTGGAACGAACTTCGCTGCCACACGATTCATGTCCAAAATTTCCAAAAACCTGCATGGCATAAGCCAACTGATATGCCGACATTCTCAGCAACTTCTCTACTAGTGGTTCGACGATTCTCCATTACAATTTTCTTCAATTTTTCAACATTTTCATCGGTTGTTAATGTGCTGGGGCGTCTTGGGCGAGCGATATCATTCACATCTTCTAGACGTTCTGTGAAAAGCTTGTACCACTTGTAAACATTTTTCTGACTCGGAGTACAATCACCGTATGCTACTGCCAACGTATCAAGTGTTTTTGAGCACTCAATTCCATTTTTTCACCAAAATTTCATGCAAATTCTTTGATCCATTTGTTTCGATAGCAGAAAATCGCCGAACACGCAAAACATTTTTTTCGTGATATTAAGTGTGAGCAAGTCATAACTCAAGTTATGTTTCAAAATTGTCATACCAACTTCAGCCTTCGATATGGTCTGATCCCAGTTATCTCCATCCACTACATATACATTGTCATCTACATGTGAGTATAGATCACCATCAAAATTTGTATTTAATAAATTATTAATGTAAATCAAAAAAGGACAGGTCGTAAAACCGTGGGGAAAGCGAGAAAATCAGAGAAAAGAGACGAAAAGCTGATAAAGTTAGATGCTAATTTCTATAACCATTTCATTGAGCTAGATGAGTTTCTTGACTCTAATAAAAGTCATTAAATAAAAATATTTAACATATCCAAAACCTAACTCTAATTAAAGATGATAGCAAGAAGCACCTAAACTGATTCTTAATTTTCAGTGAATTCTATTCATTATACGGGTTACAATTTTTTTAAATTTTTCATTTCATAGTGAACTTTTCTGTTTTAACGTTTGATGATTGGGCATAACATGCGTACTCTTTAAATGAGACTATAATGACTTCGTCACAAACTCTGGAATATAGTAAAATGGTTTTTCTGTCGTTCGGATAATATAAATATTGCACTGTATTTATACAGTTTTTCTTTTCCACATTTGACATCACACTGTAGGTAAATGATTTCGAAACGGTAAATTACTTGGGATATTACAATGCACAAAATCCGGGCGGCAAGCCGTGGTCGAATGGAAGTCAAAGTAGCCAACGTTTTGTCCGTCACTGTAGAAGACATCTTCAGTGGTATATACGTTAATTCGAGGACTAAGTCAGTATTGCCGAGACTTCAAAATACTACAGTTGAAACGTTTCAGCTGACACGTCAACAATAGTACTTCGACCACGTCACAGAAGATGACTGTCGCAGTTGCAGCCGAAACGTTTAGAGATTATAACCAATGAAGACCACTGCAAAACCCGGAAACCAACCAAAACATTGACAACAGCCGTGAAAGCCTACATTCCTACACTACTTGAGTACAAATAGGAAAAATATGGTTCGATGCCCATTTTTGAGGTAGAATTGAAATTTGTGATGCACTGTTTGGAACCTTTGGTGTGGTAATGAATATTACTGGAGTTTTTTCCCAACACCAAACCGTTATTTTAATACCCCGACACGTGTTCTCGATGATCTTCGTTTCTCTCACTAATTTGTATACAAAACAAAACCGGTTCCAGGAGGAAGATTGCTTTTATGAACAACAGGAGGGAACGGCTATAGGTAACCCCTTGTCCCCCTTCCTGGCAAACCTGTTCATGAGCAGATTCGAAATGGAAACCAAAGAAAAGTCAAAGTATTCTCCTAGGATATGGCTAAGGTATGTGGATGATATTTTCGTGATATTCGATAACAAAAAATCGAATATTGAGGACTGTTTCCTTTTTAAATTATAGATTTCCATCAATAAAATTCACGTATGAGTTAGAAAACAAAGGACAACTTCCATTTCTTGACGTTTTGGTAATGAGGAGCCAATATAGAGGGTTAAAATACGATGTATTTAGAAAGGAAAGAAGCACGTACAAGTATATTCCTGACAGTTCACATCACTGTGGACAGCACAATCGTGTTGGGTTGAATTTTCTAGTGCATCGTCTTTTGACTTTTCCTCTGACACATGAGAGGTTCATGAAAGAAAAACGTATAATACAGGAAACAGCAGCCACTAACGGTTTCTCGAGGGGTATTGTAGATGGCATGATAAGGAAGAAAAAGTTAAGAATAAACGAAATCTTGGTTTTTAGAAAGGACAAAAACTAAGATAAATATATCTCACTTCCATACCACCAATACAAGAAGAACTAGCTATGAAGGTGGTTTTTAAAACAAGTCATACACTACAGAGCTATTTAGGAAGTCTAAAAGACAAAAGTCGAGAATTCGGAAAAGTCTGGAATTTCCGAAGTAAGGACTGCTATGTAAAAAATTATGGACAGAGAAAAATATCTATTAAAATGAGATATAAAGAACACTTAACACACTTAAAATATGGAAGACCTGAAAAATCAGCAGTCGCCCATCATATTTTGCAACAAAACCATTTCATAGACTTCAGTTCATTAAGATTAGTTAGACAAATCACCAACAACAAGCATCTAGATGGCTATGAGAGTGTAGAAATGAGTAAATATAATGATAGTATAAATAACGATGGTGGACCAATACCTAATAGTATACTATATAGCTGGGTAAAATGATATTTTATTTATTAGATTCACCTGACTATTACACATTGTGAAATTAATTTAAGACAAGTGTATAGGGCAATATTGTGAAATTGGTTTTATATAGCTTATAATATTTCAGTTATTACATTTGCCTAACTGTTGCATAAGGACACATTTTAAAATTAATTTAGGACTAGTAGATAAGACAATTTGTGAAATTTTATATAGCTTATAATATTTCAGTTATTACATTTGCCTAACTGTTGCATAAGGACACATTTTAAAATTAATTTAGGACTAGTAGATAAGACAATTTGTGAAATTTTATATAGCTTATAATATTTCAAATTATTAGATTCACCTAACTATTACATAAGGACACATAAAATTAATTTAAGACTAGTAGATAAGGCAATATGGAAATTGATTCTTGAAGATGATCATTTGGTGATCGAAATACGTGTCGAGGTCTCAAAATAACGGTTTGGTTTTGGGAAAAACTCCAGTAATATTCTTCAAAATTTAAATATTTAAATAAAATCGACCAACTTTTTTTCGATACTATAAATACGATACTATAAAGATCTTGAAGCAAATTGTACTCAAAAAGTTCATTGTATTGTATGAAAAATTGTATGAAATATAAACAGTAAATGTTTTGACAATATATTAACTCAACTCATCAACATAATGAAGAAGAAAAACGGTTCAAATCAAAGAATGACGCGTAAGTATTCAAATACATAACTAATTTCATTATTGAGTGTCAAATTTCTATAATTTGTAAACAAAAATTGTTTAATCGAAGATATATATTTTGTATCAATTAAATGGTGAATTCAGATAAATTCGTTGTATAATTGAGGGCCGAAACAGAAAAAGTATCTCTGGACTTTTTATTTCTTAGTAGAGATGAGTATCTTTGCTTTTCTAACAGAACATTTTCAAAATGTTTTCTGAATGTTAGTATTTTTTTTAATTCAGTTACTTTGAATTGAAAAACAATCGAGTGTTGCCTTCCTGATTTGGTCTTGAATTACTCATCTATTTAAAACAAAAAACTGTAGAAAGGTCAATTAATAAAAGTAAGTTTTCAAGTTGTGTTTACTACACTCATGGAGTGACCCGAATTTAATGTCCGGCAGTTATTATCGTTTTTCTTTGTTTCACAATGATGCTTATTGAAATATTGATTAACTTGATGATTTTTTCTTTAAATTCATCATAGAACCTCTTCTTCAAATCTTTCTACTTCAACAATTGAAATGCTCAATAAAACAATTTCATTAGAATTAACTTTTGTTGTTTGTACTGTGGTTACCATAACCTAAAAATCAACTGATAAATTTGATGAATTAGGTACTGTTTTCCATAGAAATATAAAAAAACAATTATTTTTTTAAACTCTGTAGTTTACTCTTCATAGGTAAATATATAAAAATGTATACCGAATGTATACACATTGTTATGTGTCTGCATATGAACACATTGTTATAGTTTGAAGCATGCCTTTAAATCGATTATTATTATATGAAAATGATTTTGAACTCACCTTCCTCATAATTATTCCTCATTTTCTACTGCTGTAATACGTTTGATTGTTGGGGTTCATCTGTTTCGATCTGTTGTCTTGTTCTTTCTTTGATAAATTGCAATAACTTTTTGTTGCTGAATCAAAAGAAAAAAGCAAAATGAGAAAGAAATCACCACACTAGATTCACATCATCGGCATCGTACCTTGATGATCTTTCGGTTTCTCCATCCCTCTTGAACTCCAGTAAGATGAGTTATTGGAGTTTTTCTGGTTCGCAGAGTTATTTTGATTACTTCTATCCATCGTTTCGCGTTATCTGATTTGCTGTTGATATCGGGCAGTTTCAGTTGCTAGTTACGTAAGTGATCGAACACTCTGTCGACTCTGTCCGATGAAAGCGCGGAAAACTTTTTATAGTGCGATTTTGGGGTGCCGGTGATTCCCAAGATGTGTTTGAGAAAACAACAACCCCTTGTTGTAGAGAGGGGAATCACTGATCAGCCCCGGATATTTAAATATTATTAGAGGTGATCACGTATTTTAATCGAGAAATACATAGTCGGGTATGATGGACAGAAAAAGGTTTTCCTGTGATCCAAATCAGAAGGTGAAATAATTGATAGACCAGGAATTTAATGGCCATCATTTTACTAATTATGTCTAAGCTGAGTTTGAAACATTTTCTACATGACAAAATGGTTAAGGCTTTCTAATAAAATTCCAATTCCAAATATCGTTATTTTTTTGAGAACATTTCGGGTGTGTCTTTACTCTAAGGGCGTGTCTTAGAGTAAAGACACACCCGAAAAAGCTATTGTATGGCGAAACACGTGCTATCAGGCTATCAAGGTTGCACGTGATGTTCGCGTCTATCAGGCGGATGGCTCTTTTCTGGATGGAATCCAGCAACTACAAGGTATAATCTGAGTTTTATAAAGCATCAAAAGTTGCTGAGGTGTGTACAGTTTTCTAGTTCGGAACAGTGTTCCAAACTTTTGAGAAGCAGCATTTGCAATTCCAGCCCGCATGATTGTGCCAAGACATTTTAGTGTCAATTTTAACCCCCAACAAACTTATCGAAGCAGAAAGCGGAATTATCTGACCTGACATTGTTACCTATATCCGCAGTTCTCCAGATGAAAGAATTCTTAAACAGTGAAGTACTGAGTGGAACCTCAAAACGATGATCAGCCTTTGCAATTCCAGCGACATGATTGTGCCAAGACATATTGGTGTCCAATAGACTCATCGAAGCAAAAAGTGGAATTGTCTGACCTGACATTATTATATCTGGTTCGGAGGCATCCATTTTCTTAGAGAAAACCGATGCCTGGGTTTTTGTGGCATTGAATTGAACCTGGTTAGTTTCACCCCAATTCGAAACCACTTCTAGATCCCCATTAAGATATGCAACCTCCTGCTGCCGGTGAAGATGTGCATCTGAAGCCGATGTCCTGAAATCCAAATGAAATGACGAGACAAGTATGCTGTCGTCAGCAAAGCAATATATTGGATTCTTGGTAGCATCGAAGTTTGGCCAGCAAACTCTCATGCCACACACGTTCGAAGGCCTTAGAAATATCAAGCGCAACGGCTCTTGATTCTCCATGTTTCTCGAGTGCTTTATTCCAAATATGGGTGATATGCGATAGAAGGTCGCCAGTTGATCTTTGTTTCCGAAAGCCATATTGATGATCGCTCAAAATTTTGAGCCTTCTTAATATTTGAGGAAATGATGGTTTACGACTTTCAACCATGATTGTTAATATCACTGATAACAAAGCGACTGGTCTATAGTTTTTGGTGCCGCGCAGGCACCACTCTTAGAGCGCCTTAAGAATTTTCCTGTAGTGTTTATGTTTTGTCCTTAAAAAATCGTGGATTGAGTCTTTTGTTTATTCCATAGATACCGTCTTCGCAAGGAAATATATTATTGCCTTTGATTATACGATTGAGCTTTGACACTTGTGTGTTTACGCCTAGCACCACTGATGAGATCGTGACGGGTCAAAACAGCTGTCTGGTGTTGGATCATTACCAAAATTATCCTAATTTTTCTTTGTTTACTCAAAGGAAGATGTTGAGTGGTCATCAATATTCATATAAATGGTTAAATATTATCTAAATACCATAATTCACGTAGGGCGAGTTCTTGACAGAGATACAGAAGTAGTAATTGTTAAAGAAAGCAATGGCAATTTGAAGAAATTCATCAACTTAACTGTTAACTGTTATCCGGATTGATGTGTCACACCTGTTGAGAACATTTGATTTTCACTGTTCGATCGCCTTGATAGAAAAGATTTTTTTTTATATNTGCAAAAAATGTATCACATGTTTCGCTATCACAGTGGCTTCTGGTATATTCTAGTCCTATGTGGTTTTGGATGCTTCAAAACGTATTGTAAAGGCCATAAAGTTCGAAAAGTGGGTGCCTCATGATTTTAACGATGGACAGAAATTGTCACATTTCGAATTCTGTTCTTATTTGCTTTTGCGCAACCAAAACAATCCTTTCTTGGATCGGATCGTCATGTGTGATGAAAAGTGGATCCCCTACTTCAACGGGAGACGTTCAGGACAGTGGTTGGACATCGATATGAGCCACCCAGCCACTTCCTAAAGGTAAAAACCAACAGACCTCTCGCCAACCCACTACCAACTTTTCCAGCACTCGATACATTCTCACAGATAGAACCTTTGCCAATCGGGACCAGGCAAAAACGGCCTTCGTCGATTTCATGGAATCCCGAGTAGGTACCCAATGTTAATGCTGACGGAATCATTCGACTTGTGTTACGTTGGCAAAAGTACACTTATTCAATTAACTTCGATTAAAGTGAATGAGTATATATGTCAGTGAAGTTGGCCGTGTGAAAAGGATATTCAAGTTATAATAATAAAACATGTGAAAGTTGATGATGGTGTGTGTCCTTAAGATGAAATAGTTCGATAAAGCATTATACACGATAAGATATACATAGATAAGATAAACATAGAACAATGAAACTAGTGACATAATATGAAGTATGGCCACAACTATAATGCTAAAAGAACTAGCATTATACTTGTGGTATGACACATAATTGAAAATGAATTATATGTCAAAGCATGGAAAACTAGTAATGTCGCCTAACTTAGGAAAAAATATAATGAGAGACACCTACCGAGGGAGTATAACTATTTTTTCGCGAGATTCCGTTGATCTGAAATCGGTTACATAGCTGTTATACCCCCACCAAAGAAATTTTAAAGGTTGTTATCGTTCATTATCTCTCGCGAAAATCAACCGGCTAACCGGATAGAATTTACTTTATATATACAACAAAACAAATAAACATAACCTCAATAAAAAGCGAGGAGTTCTATGTTTGAAGTTTCTTTGTTTCAGTTGAAATTAAGTAGAGTGGCTGAAATGTTTCCATCAGTTTAATCGATAATTGACGATTTTTTTCATACTAGCCTGTTCATACTTGTGTCATCACAAGTAACGTTGCAGATTTGGCTTGTTTTCCGT